ACGACGGCGCTGAATAGTGCTGCCGTATTGTTAGCGGTGCCATTACATCACCCTCCTTGAGAAACGATTTTTGCAAAGTGATCAGGCTTGGATCTGTTAAAATTATTAATTGTAATGATTTTAAAATTATATTCCCGCGATTTTTTAAGCTAGCAATCGTGAAATGACGGAAAAATTCATCGTCTTTTGGCCATTCAATCTCCTTAATTTTGTGTTTGCTGGTTTCAATTTCAAGCCTCGAAAGTAAATTATCGAAATTCATTATTTCGTTAGCAAAGACATAATTAAGTAACTCGAGTTTTTTGTGTTTAATATGTGCACAAATTCGTAAGTTTTTAATTTTATCATTTTTATCATAAGTAATTTCTGATCTAATACGCGGTATCTTTTTTGTAAAATTGTAAGAAAATTTATCATAAACGTTTAATTTCTGTGAGTTTTCGTGTTTGTTATTGTCTTTGTTTTGTATTATTTTGTCGTTTTCTCGTCTAGTCATTGATCTCGTCTGTACTGCCAAAATATTTTTCGTTGATTCCCTTATTTCGTCTATCGTTATACGTGAGAGTGCGTCTGCGCCTCGTGCGAGAGGAAATTTATCCGCAATAAGTTTTTTGTTGACTGCGGGGAAATCAACGCACATACGATATGCTTTTTGACCATTAGTAGACTTTTTAGGCACCAAAATTAGAGGACTATTGTAATTGGAATAACTTCCTTCAATTAAATCGTTATCTAGTAATTTATTAACTTGGCGAGTTATCTCTTCACGTTGGGAATATGGCAGACGATAATTTTTTACATATACCGGGTCAGTGTCAGTCAACCTTAGTTTCTGTTCATAAAAATTGTTTAATGTCATTTTCTCGTTGTCAAGAGCGAAAATGTCGGCATATTTTATGCAAAGGTCAAGTAAATTGCTGTTAGCTTTTGTAGGGATTTGGATTTTTAAAATTATTATTAATTCGTTCGTTCGGGGGTCTTCTGTCTTGGTCTTATTAATTGAGTAAACGTGATAGTCGGAAAGTTTTTCAGTCCGAATATTTACATTCTTTACATGTTTTACTTCATCTGTGGTATTTATAATTTTAATAATTGGGTTACCGCTATTAACTACGCATCTTGCTGTGAATACACCGTGTTCAACTTCCTGCGATTCTACAAAAAGTGGATCCGGCGAATTGCCAAAATTGAAAATTCGAAAAAACTTCGCATCTGGGTGGTATGATACAAGTGTCGCTTTCGGTTCCGTGTAGGATTGGTATCGCGACTTTTTCATTGCCTACCCAGAAGGAAATACAATTGCTTGCATAGCTAATAACGCATTTGTTACTTTTTAGAAAATCTTTACCCAGTATACCATTAGATGGTATGTTAAAATCATTGCTTACTACATGTAACGTATGTTTAATGTAAAAATCAGTAAAAGTCAAGATTATGGTAATTGTACCTAACGTAGAAACTGTATCAGAAGTGACACCGGTAATGTGAATTATATCGTTCGTATTTATAGAAAAATGTTTATCAATGCTAGAAAATTTGACTAAAGAAATGTCGGCTTGCGTGTCGACTAAAATCGTACAAAATTTGTTTGAACCATTAATTCGCAATTCAATAAAATCAGAGTAATTTAGATTTAGACAGTATATGCCTTTTGTTGAAAAAGAATTATTTAGTTGTCCATTTCTTCCGCCCTCAGTGTTCGCTCCTGAGGGGCGTGGGCGTTTAAAGCGCGCACATTAGCATTACTGCGTGAATTTGGACGTCTATTACTATTATTGTTGCTGTTATTGTTTCGATTGTTGTTTGATGACCGATTCCTATTATTGTTGAAATTGTTACCGTTATGCCTTGAACCGTTATTGCTGTCCCTACTGTTATCAGCGTTATTATTGTACCTATTGAAATTTGAGTTGTTTTGTCTGAAATTGTTATTGTTGTACCTATTAAAATTGTGCCCTCTGAAACTACCTCTAAAGCTATTTGGCCTATTTACTCGGGATCGAAACGCTAACACTTGGCGCTCTTTCCCTTGATTATTTTGTTCGACTATCATTTTTGCCACTACGTCCTTTGAATCACTGAAGGTAGTTGACGATAAAATTGATTTGACCAAATCCGACCGAGTATTGAGTCTACAAACGTTTACTGTTTGCTCGACTGCCATTTCATGAGCCTTAAACTGTGTCATACCTTCAATGATCAAAGAGCGCTCTAAAGCATCCGAAAGCTCCTCGACACGCTTAGCAAATTCCGTATAATTGTTGTTTATGACATGCAAAGATGCAATTTTCCCAGCTACAACTTTCGAGTTGTCTGGCTTTATTCTATTTCTCAACGCATCTTTTATTTGCCCAACTGAACTAACTTCTGTTGGAGTTGCTTCACGTGCCTTGCCTTCGAGTTTCGATTTCAAAAATGATATAAAAGTCGTATTTAAGTTTTCATATGCAAAATCTTCAATTAAATTAATTTTGTCTATAAACGATTCAAGTGCTAGCGGATCTCCATTGTAATTTTCCCTAATGATTGAGGCACAAAGACTAATAAACGATTTTTTCTGTTCAGGGGTAGCCATGTCTAAAAATTCTTGAAAAAATTTAGAAATATTTGGTGAACTGGTAGCTGTTGACGGCTCGTCGGATATTGTTAGCAGATCTTTAAAGGATGGAAGTGAAGTACTTCTTTTAAGACTGAATTGTACCGAAGCTTCTGACTTGGCGTCACTAAATTCTTCTTCTGACTCAGAGTCAGCTAAGTCTGATTGGCAAATTAGCGATAAGCTATCAGGTGGAATCCTAACGCGACAATTCAGTTTATTAAAGCACTTTGCTAACTGTCCCTTGCAACGAGCTAATTTAACTTTGACTTCTTTGAGATTACAGGTATGGGCCGAACTATTACCAATAACTAGTAATAAAATATTGTTATAAGCTGTGATAAGCGAATATTTGTATTCGTTTAATTTTTTCGCATTCGAAGACAACGGCCTATTTTGTAAAATGCGTTTCGTAATCTTATCAAAATCTGCTTTATATACTTTAAATTGTTTATCGAATTCGCTCATAACC